TACGCCCAAGCGCCAGTTTGGGCTCTCCAGGTGGGAGATGCAGTGGCACGACCTGGTCTTCTCAAGTGCATCCAGTCCCGGTGGAAAACGTCCACGCCCGAGACGGTGGATGACCAGGGTTGGGTGAGGTTTTGTGGGTACGAGCTCAAAAGCCATGAAGGAGGTTTGTTGTTAGGTCAACCCTCCTACCTGGGTGAGTTGCTGCAGAGGCACAACATCGTGGACAAGAAGACGGTTCCACTGCCAAAGGACGCCGTACCTCCTCCAGAGGTGGAAGAAGGGGTGACGGCGGAGGAGATCAAGAAGGCGCAGGGCATTGTGGGGGAGATCCTGTGGGTGGCCATTCGCAGTCGGCCTGACCTGTCCTACGCCATCAGCGCTATGGGAAAAGAGGTCACAAAACGGCTGAGATGGGTGCTTCGGGTGGGACAACATGTTCTGGAGTACTTGAATGGCACGATGGACTACTTCCTGCACTATGTTTTTTGTGGACCTGGTGATCGTGGACCTCATGGTGATCTTCCTCTGGAGCGCTCTACATCGTTGGTGGAGCTCTTCAGTGACATTTCGTATGCCCCGCAAGGGGAGAAAAGTGTGCAAGGCATCGCGGCGATGATTGCGGGCGCCACTGTGCAGTGGGAAACTTCCAGGCAATCGTGCCTGGCATTGTCAACGGCGGAAGCGGAGCTGTACTCCTACGTGGAGGCCTTAATTATGGGGGATTCGCTGCAGGCGCTGTGGACGGAGGTGCATGGAGAGACGCCGGAGATCGTCACCTATGGCGACAGTCAGGCTGCCATCTCCATCGTGCGCAATCCGGATGGTCCATGGCGTACCAGACACCTTCGACTCCGAGCTAACGTGCTTCGAGAACGAGCTCAACAGGGGCGATGGAAGATCTTCCACATGGCGGGCACGCAGCTGATCGCCGACTACCTGACCAAGAGCATCACGGTTCGAGCTTCCTGGGACCGCTTCCGGGCGTTCACCAACCTCCTGAAGGTCGAGAACCTGGGTGGGGTGGCTGCGGATGATGGGGAGGGTTCGCAGGACGCGGTGGAATCCATGGTGCGGGTGGCGAAGCTTGCTGCATGTTTGGCTGGGTGCGCGGCTATGACCTGGCCTTCCTACACTGCAAAGGCGGCGGTGGCAGCGGCGCTTGCGATTGGGCTGGCCTATGAAGTGAGCCGGGGTTTTAGCAGGGGTTTTTGGACGAGGGACCAAGATCCGGGGGAGTGTTCAACCATGTCAGATAGGGAAATTCAACAAGAATTGAGATCTACTGAACACTCCACTCGGCTGCAACCTCGTTTGTGTGCCCTGCGGCCTTCGCCGGCAAGGGAAGAACAAGACCAACAGGGGTCAGAACAACGGACCAGTCAAGAAAACATATAAGAAATGTTCAAGAGGCCAGAAACTCATCGGCGTCGGGCCGCACGCCACCTCCAGGGGAACGTGTCTCGGAAACTGAAGGCCCTGGGGGTTTAGACCGTAGCCTAGAGGCTCCCAACTCCACTGTGTTCGAGGTGGAGGCGGTGAACGCGAGCCATGGCGTGTGGGGTCGCATCCAGATGATGCTGCCTGCTGTCTTCCGAGGTGGACGAGAATGGCTTGGAGGAGATGCAGGGCAGCCGGAAGAGGTGCACTACACGAACACCAGGGTGACGCAAGAGGCCATGGACACGGGCACCTACGACATGACAAGACCGCCGATGGTGGTCACCAGTGAGGGCATCCGGACGTTGCGGCCAGAAGAGGTGGACATGGAGACCCAGACGATTCGCCTGATACCAAATGAACGGCTGGTAGCGAAATCTCCGCCACCTGCAAAGAGGCCTCCGGTGCCCCCTCCTAAACAACCTCCTGTACCCTTTCAACCGCGTGGCTATGGGGGGGCTACATCGAGTGGTTCTTCAAGGCCGAGTGAAGCTGCTGAGCGAGGACAAGCGGCGATGGCATCTTCAAAGGCGATGGGTACCGCTATGGGGTACACTTCAAAGGCTGCGGGAACCGTTCTCCAAGGGGTTTCCAAGTCGGCAGCGGCGGCGAGGAGTTCGAGCTCTACGGGACCTCCTACGCTGGAGCGAATGCAGCAGCCGGCAACCGACAGGCCGTGGAACAGGCCGGGCAAGGCTCCACCGGCGCAGCTCTTGATGCCGGTTGGGGGCCTGATGGATGATCAATTGGAGTTCCAAAACTCGGTGTTTTGGACGCCTGAGATCCTGAATGACATTCAGGATTTGATCGAGGAAGAAGCGTTGTTCTACAAGCCAACGCTCAAGAGTGATCGATGGGATCACCTGACCATGGATGGCTGCAGATGGTTGGTCCGATACCATGGAAGTGCGCGGGTGCAGAGGTTTCATCCGGAGCATCGCAGCTGTCCTGAAGAGATCGATGACTTGGAGTTCATGAGAGTCACCGTCGCGTGGAAAGGCAGCGAATGGCATCGAAGAGTGGTCGTGGACTGCGATTGGCGACGAGCAGAACTGAGCGGGCCGGGCTCTTGGGTCGGTTTTTCGCTCTTCCTCATGCGAAATGGCATGAGACGGCTTTGACGTCCGAAGGCGGACGGGGGGAGTGCGGATCTTGAAACAGGACGCACAAAACGAGAAGTGTACAACTAGGTACACAAGACCACAGGCCGAAACGCCTGCGTGTTTGGCTCAAGAAAACAAAGACCGCTTTTCGTGAAGCATGCAAACAAATCAATACTCGTCTAATTGGCTTCTTGGCAAAGGATACCCCTTAGGAAAGCCATGAATCAAGATACTTTTCGACTTCAAATTTGAAAACTTGAGCGGTGGAAACACTTTTCCAAAACGCGACAAAACACGGGCATTCCCTTTCGCAAATCCTTAGCTACTAGGAACAAGTGCCACGCTAGTAGTAACAGGTGCCTTACTAGTAGTAACAATGTTTGCTATTAGAAACAATAAGCTACTAGGGGCAAGTGCATGTAGCAAAATGACATGTAATTTCCCTTTCGACTCCTGGAACCCTGGACTAGCGCCTCTTCTTGGCTATACCCAGCATACTTTCGCGTAGTCCAAACGCAGTACTCTCGAAGCTCATCCTGGGATGACAGGCTGTGGGAAGTACTTTGGGTGCAAATTCATAAGGAAAGCACGCCACAATATGACTAGTTATCTAAGGAGTTTTACTAGCCAATTGCAAGTTTGCAGAGTCTTGACTTACGAAGACAAGCAGCAACCAACTGGACCTCAGCATGTCGTTGAGGGGTTCAGCCATTTCTCATGCAAAAGCTGGTTGTTTTGTCAGCTGACATTTAGGCACTTACCAAAAGAAAAATAACGCAGTACTGAACTATCCTCATCCGATGATCAAACTGTCTTCATCTGTCTTCCAAAGCCATGAAGGGGTATCATCCACTCATACATGATGCTGTCAGCTTGCTGCTTTTTGCCACTGTCATTTTGATCTATCATCGCTAATGATGTTATGCTTTGCCATTGAGATTGTCATCGCGGCTTGTCATTGCTCGTTGCTCTTATCACTAAGGTCGGTTGACGGTTATTGAGGTGTTCATTTTGTTTGCAATCACTCGCTGTTTGCTAGTGGCTTCTCAATGCTTCGTCGTGTTTGGCTTAGGGTCTTAAGCTACTGTCAGCCTTGCCGCGAATGTTTGATTGTTGTGGCTCGTCTCTTGTCATTCTGCTTTCACATTCGCACTTTGCAGAACCTTGGGATCGTCCAAATCCCAAACAAATACAGCCTGTTTCGTGTCCACCTGTTCGGTAGCCAAGTGACAAACTCGTCGAATTCCAACGATTTTTGATTCTCGAACGTCTGACCATCAGCCAACGCGACCTGTGGGCGTTGTGGGCAGTTTTCGTGCAATGCAAATATCCCAGATTTCGTGTGAATGCCTCCACCCTAGAAGCAATGGCCTCCAACCTACTATAGATGGCCTCCAACCTAGTAGCGATGACCTCCAACCTAATAGTAGGTTGGATGACAAAGAATAGGCAACAAGCAAATCCATTTCATTGTATTTCAACAATCAAGGATTGAAGGCTGCATCTCCGGTGTGTCTGGTTGACACACAGTTTTTGGTGCCATCGGATTCTACACCAAACAATCGCAACAAATCCTCGTTCCAGCCTCCACTGCTTCTTCTGAAAGGACCAGGAGGATGGCATTTTCCACCTACACGACGATGCTGGATCAGAAACACAAACACCATATCTGAAATCGCCAAAGGCTTGATTTTGATAAGCAGATGGCAATGGTCCATTTCCTAGTGCTGTCCCTCTCAAGACCTCCGTGAAGACCGACGCCTCTGGGCCCAGCAGGACGGGTGGATTCTGGAAATGGTCTGCGTTCTTTGTGAACACCATCTTTACTCTTGCCAGCTGCTTCTCACGGAAGAGCCGCATGAAACGGATAAACTCCTCAGTGACATGGAGCTTCGTTCCTAAACATCTGAAACAGGAAGAGGTGTGACAATGTTCTTTCCAAGTCATCTTGATGCCATGAACCAAGCTCGGCCGCATGTCCATGTCCAAAACGCCAAGGCTCCCGGATGTCCAAAACGCCGTTGCCATTGATGTCCACCGCAGACAAGAAGCTGCGGACCTGCGCATCTGTCAGAAAATCCCGTGTCCAAAAAACACGAAGAAAGAAAAACAAGTTTGTTCAAAGTGTTTGTTTTCTTGTCCAAAAAAGATCATCGCCTAACACTTCCAGCGACTGATGCTCAAACATGCCAAGAAAAAGAACAAAGTCCCACGTTTGGAACGCAACAGCAGGATACTGTGACTAGCAGGATCCTGGATAATAAAGGCAACAGGTACATGAAACGACAGTACCACAGGAAGCTCATGTGATCTCATGTGTCTTGTCGTTGTTAGGAAAGGCTCATTAGTCTGGCTGTCTGCAACACAGTCTCCGAAGTGTTTTCGTGATATCACGAATCACGAGTGGCTTGGCACACCAGAAGCAACGAGACTGGCAACAGGGTTATTGATTGGAACACATGGGAAAACGCATGGATGCTGAGAGAGTAGATCGCTCACAAGCCGACCCCATCCACTTTCAATCTTGACAGCGTAGTGCGATGTGCCGCCGTTGGAAGCAAATTGGAATAAAGGGCAAACGAGGACCGACTGACGAACGAACGGAGGCCTCTAACTCTGCAGGGAAAAGAGCAAAGAGCAATAGATTAAGCCTAGGAGCAAGGACGCTACTAGGGGCTCCTGGCCTTACTACTAGGAACAAGAACCCTACTAGGAACAAAGGGCACCGCTACTAGTAGCAAGGACGCTAACCCCGAGTACCTATTAAAAAAACGGACCCCTTCCTTCAAAAAGAAGTCATGTCGGAAAACCCTAGATACGGTTTATGTTCGGTTTTAAATTACCGCCCTTTCAAACCGCTACTAAACTGCCAACATTGCCGAATTTGGTGAGTTATTTTTTTAATTAGGTTCCCCAAAAACTCCCTCTTGACCTAGTAGTAGTAGTGGTGGCGGTAGTAGTAGTAGTAGTAGTAGTAGTAGTAGTAGTAGTAGTAGTGGTAGTGGTCAACAGACTACTGCATCTGCCACGAAATCTGCACTTCAAGGTCAACAGACTACTGCACCTGCCACGAAATCTGCACTTCAAGGTCCACAAAGTAATGCACCTGCCACGAAATCAGCATTGGATCTGCAATGAGTTCATCAATGATTCAAGGAACCTTCCACTGACGCAATTTTGGACCACCCCTATTTCAGGGACCCCCTATTCAAAAAAAATGCGACTGAGGATTCCTTATTAGGGGGGGGGCGTGTTTTTTTTTTTAGGTGGACAGGATTATTAGGGGCTCATGTTTGATCATTTTTGCCACCTATGGGGACGTCCAAGTGTGGGATGAGAGCGTTGGCCAAAGTTCTTGTCACGACTATTTTGCCCCTACCAGCAAGAACACTTTGTTCACAAGCCCTTCAAGCCCTTGCTGATTACAATAAAACCTCGATGGATCTACACGGTTCTTGGACATGTCAGAATGCATCGCAAAGACCAACAACACATTTGTCGCCCCAAAAAAAACATCGACATCTTCACAGCAAAAAGCCTCCTCCATGCGCGAGCATTGACCGAGCTCGCGCAACATGTCGCTCAGCTCGATGGAGTTGATGTCTCCACTGTCGTCCTTCGAATTCACTGAGAACATCAAACGGACCAAGAACTTTCAAGCATAGTGCGCCAACAGCTTTTGATGGCACTCCTTGTCAAACTTCTTGAACGTCTTCTCAATTCGAGCTATCTCCTTCCCAAATCCACAGCGAGGCAAGAATTTGGAAACATCCACATTTTTGCTCAGGAATGGGAGTCTCCAGGCTAGTTGAGTCTAGTTCTCGGCAAGTCCTCTCGGTTAAAACCATCCGTTTCCTCACAGAGCATGCATGGTGACTGACAAGTTAGACTCATCAGTGAGGGAAGTTGACGCCAACTAGGCTCGAAGATGAAGGTTATCTGAAGTGACTGAGCGCAAGACATTGAGGATCTGCATGAAATGGACAAAGCTGTCGTAATCCAAGCCTTCATTGTTGGTGTGCACAATATCGCCTCGCACTCGAGCCTGGCACACGTCATATTTTGTTGAAAGCTCTTAGGCTGGAGCCCATTGCTCTTAGGATGGAGGCCATCGGTACTAGGTAAAGCAAAAAGGATGTAAAAGGTCTCACGAAAGGAGAAATCGCTACTAGGTTGGAGGCCATCACGCACAATCAGCAACCTCATAGACAAGCTCATCCACCGTCTTCTGCGGAATGGTGAATCCCAAGTCCTTGATGACCTGCTCTAGGTATGCTCTGCTCAGTTTCAGGGTGTCGGATATGCTGAGTTGGACACGTTTTTCACTTCACTCATGTCAATGCTTTTGGAATGGTCATCGTCATACTTGTCAAAGACTTCTCCTCGGTGTGCGAAAATTCGGTCAGGCGTCGAACCTGTCACTCCGAAGTGTTCCTATTAGCGTCCTTTCACTCCGTTCGTAGTGATTGCCCTTTGCTCCGTTCGTAGCGACCATTGCTCCTAGTAGTAAGGCCAGGAGCCCCGAACGTAGCGATAAAAAGGCGAGCAACTGTAGTTGGTGAACATCTTCTCCCGAAAACGTCTGGCCCAAAGGACCGCTTCTTGAAAGGTTAAAGCGGGGGGTCCGGTCGGGCTGGTCGTGGTACCTTGGCAAAAGGAAAGGCTTTCCATGCCAAAGCCCTCTTTCAAACAAATAACTCATACCAAACATGAATGGTGCTGTGTTTAACACAATGGTTATTGCGTCTGGTAGCAAGGAGCAACCTTTAAATGCCGAGACATGAGGTTTCGACAAACGGTTTTCAAGAACACATTGATGTTTTCGGCGTTCAGGCCGCAGGGTTTGCCGTTGGCGTTCAGGTTCGTGTTTGGATGGGTCTTCTCGAACACGAACGAACCACAATCTGCGGGACTAAGAACTCACAGACAGGTTTTGCGTGAGGAAAGTCGAATCAACACACTGAAAGAATGCGTTCTTGAGAGCAATAGCATTGCATCACAAAACCTTACATGATACATCATGATACATGTCCAAATATCTTGACCAAAGCGCACATCGTTGTGTTCTGGCTTCAGTTTTGTGCATGATGAACTTTCAATCTCATGTGTTGTCAGCATCCTGACGTCCTTCATCTTCCCATCATTTCCACAGCTTACACTGTTCACTAGCACCCATGTGGTCCATGTGTCTGTATAGTGCACCTCTGTTCCGCGCCGTGCAGTGTAAATGATTCTGCCAAAATGGTCATTGTCGGTCTGGACCCACACCAAGTCTGAGCCCTTCCGTCCGGGTGCCTAGGAGCTTGCTAGTTACTAGCAGCTGACTTAGACAAGGGTAAAGTGTCCCTAAGAATCTAGGAACCAACTGATTAGTGTGAGCGCTTCTTCAAGGAAGCTCCCCCCGCCGCCTTTAGAGCTACCAACTACTAGCCTGCTGACCTCTTCCTACTCGTGGCCTAAAGAAAAATTGAAGCCAAAGGACCAGCGCCAACGCTCTTCCTTCGGCCTGCCGAAGAGAGCTCCTGTTGCAACTCGACGCTGAAGTCCGCAGCTCTTGGCCTTGATCCAGACATAACGAGGAAAAGGCATGTAACACACATAAATGAAAGAAAACATTATCCAATTGAAAAAGAAAATGAATCGGTTTAATATAAATAACAAATGAATCAACTTGAAACAAAGAAACAGGAAATAGGGTCCAGTGGTCTAATAAGAATAGATGCAAAGTGAAGGAAACAATATACAATTAATTGGATAAGAAGGGGAATATGTTTTTTCTTTAGTCATCCCTTGCTACTTTAGGGCCGTTGTCCTTGCCGAGGAAAGGGCGAGGCAGCAGTTAGTCTTGCGTCTTGCGAAAAAAAAGAAGGAATGCATGGACGAAACGCTTGCGTGGGGTAGGGGGCGACCTTTGTGTTCTCCTTCACGCTTTGTCTCAACATATGATGTTCTGGACAAATGCGGCGGTTAAGTTACGGTAGGTGACTTCTGTCATGGCGGACGCAAGTTGGACTGTTGGTCCATCCCTGGATGCCGTGTCCGTGATGTTTGATCTTGCGTGTTTTCACTGAGGCTACATGTTCGGCACTATGTTCGGCAACTTGTGCGTCTTGTATAATCAAGGCAAAAACAGTCTACTAATCTTCTTCATCTTTTGGCACAAGCGATCAACAAGATCTACTTGTGTTTGTGTTTGTGCGTGGCCTGTAGCTTCAGCTCCTTAGCTGCCTAAGCCCTTAAAGTGCCTTACACATAGCAATGTGATCAGTGTTACTTGTTTAGGGGCTTTGCAGCTGCACGTCTAAAACCGGAAAAAAAGAAACGTCTAGACGTCATGGTCTTTCTGTCTCTAGAGACCTAATAGCACTGGTTATTTTTCTTGTTTCTTCCTTTTCGTGTTTGTCTTTTCTTCCTTTTAGCAGACCTGTAGAATCCTTTGGACACTTTTGTCTGCTCTTTTCCAACTTGTCCTTCTCTTTTGCCTTTGGACATTTTCTCTCTTTTCCGAAGTTCTTCTCTAAGCCTAAGGCCGCTTATGGCCGCTTAAGGCGGCTGGTGTTTCATCTGGGTCCCGTGCCCAAAGAACTGAAGCAGCAAGGAATAGAGCCGATCTGCGGGAAGACTCCTGCACTTCAAGGCCCAAGCCACATCCAGCAAGTGCCAATCCATTTTTCTTTTCTTTGTTTCTTTCTGTGTTGTTCTTTCTTTCAAAATCTACAGGGATGACTTCAATGGAAAAACATTGAGTTCTGCACTGAGGGCTGAAATGTTCTCATCACACTGAGCCCTGCACTTCTCGTCGGTGACCTTCCCTGTTTGCATGCCCTGTTGTTGTTGATCAATGAAGACGGATGTCAGCTCTTGAAGCTCCTGGATGGTGAAGCCTTCAGAATGCCTTGCTGAACAGGCTGCAAACACGGAAGTGATACATCCAATGATACTGGCTGTTGGTGTGCATGGTCCTAACTGAACGAAATGGACAGCTGGAACGCAGGCTTATGCTGCTTACACAGCAAAAGTTGTCAAGCAAACCTGATCGAGATCCCTCAGCGGGAAGGGACAACAATGCCAAGCTCCACCTGTACACGTGCATGAGGATCACTGTCTCTTCAAAATCCAGAACGCCGTTGCCATCCTTCACAACGCTTTTGCATGTTAACAATTTTTGGCATGTGTCATGCTTGCAACTATTGAGATGCCCTGCCATTCTGCATGTCCGCCGATTTGTCTCCAAGTCTCCAAATCAACCAGGTCCAAGGACTCTCGGATAATGCTTCGCAGCGGAGTAAAGCCCAAGGACATGAGGAAGACGCACAGTTCATCTGCATCTAGTGTACCACTGCCTCAACCATTGGCTATCTCAAACAGAACATACCCTGCTCCCGGTGAGCCAAAAACAGGAAGCCATCTTTATCGAGCTTTTAAGAAAAACCGACAAAGAAAAACACAAGAGCCAAAGGTGCAAAGAGGAAACAATATAATGACAAAAGGAAGAAAGGAAACATCATTGAGGTTCAGGCTTCTTCAAGGAAACTCCTTACCGCCACAGGCGATGTGAGCTTCCTTGAAGAAGCCTGAGTCCTAGCCTGCATCTCAGCTACTTGTAGTAGCGGCCTACTTAACAGCTTAGTATTTACCTCCTTACCTGTTTAGCTGACATAAGCTAAGTTTCCCCAAAAGTCTAGCAACCAAATGATTGGTGCGAGCGCTTGTTCAAGTTCTTTCAAGAAGCGTGAACTACCCTGCGTCCAGTTACTAGTAGCTTGCTTTCTAAGTTATATAAGTAGCCGCCTACTTGATTAAGAAGGCAGGGCCGCGGACGCAACATATGCCAAGAAACCATCTTCATCAAACCGTTCGAAAATGTCCTTGAAGGTTTCGAGCTCGTACTCCACATGCTTCTCCATGAAGAAAACAAACTCGCCCTTTTCCAGCGTAGGAAACCTGGAGATGCCATCAGCCATTTCCTTGCAGTGGTCTTCGTCGACCTGTGTGTATCCCAGGTGCATCAAGACCTGTGCCATGTGCAGAATAGAAAGGCAATCCCTTTGTCAAGCAATCATGCTGTCCAAAAAGGAATCAAAAAAAGAAGTCAGGCACCGGTAGCTGCTCCGTCTTTGCAATTGCCGACTGTCAATACATGTGACAAAAAAGATGTCAAAACAAGTAAACATCTCAGTTTCCCTAAAATCTAGGAACCAAATGAATAGTGCATGAGCTATCCTGCGTCCTCACTAGTTAGTAAGCTTACTAGTAGCATATAATTAGCTACCTAGCCCTTACTTAACTCAGTCGCCGCCTACTTAGTTAAGTAAAACGAATCAAAAAAACAGAAAGAACAACCGGTTTCAGCAAGTCAAGCTGAGCCGAAGCCTCCCGCCTTAGGAAGTTCGTCCTTGTGAATCTCTGGATTGTCTGGATCCTCGAAGTCTGCACATGCTGGACGAACCAGCAGTGATTGCTATTTGTTTTTTGGCAAAAACAAAGAGCGTCTTGTTTTGATGTTGTTTTCTTTCAAAACCTGAAGCCCTTTCAAAGGCCTTCGATCTAAAAAACCCTGTCCTTGAACCGCTGGAAGGCGCTGTGGATTCGTTCTAGCTCAGTGCTGGAGAAACCATCAGCACCAGCTCTTAAGCGAGAGATCACCTCTCTAAGAACACAGGAACGCTACTAGGAACAAGTGCATCGCTTCTAGTAACAAGCGCCTTTAGTAACAATGTTTGCTACTAGTAACCATTTAATGTTAATCTAATGTTGTTAGTACCTAGTAGCTTCTTGTTACTACTAGTAAGGCACTTGTTCATAGTAGCTTCTTGTTACTACTAGTAAGGTCGCTCTTCAAGGGTGGGCTGGGGAGGAGCTTGGAGCTTCCTTGACCCGTCGATCATTTTGAATGCGCCCATGCAAAGCTGCATGCTGCCAATGACTGTTTTCCCAACGTCGTGCCTCGGAGACATCAGGAAGCCAAGTCCCTAATGGACTTGAAACATCTTTGCTTGGGTTTGCAAACTTCTTTGAATCTTTCATATCCTCCTGCAGCGTTCTAACACACCGCATCCTTGGCTCTGAAAGTGCAAGCAACTGCCCTGTCCTGATGAGGTTTACCATCGCTGCAGTCCTTGGGCGAAGCTTTGCGCGCTTCTTCTTTCATAACCAGTGTACTGTATGACTGTATGTTTTGCTGCGGTTTTACTAGCCAGTAAGTAGTCTTCCTGACTGTTGCAACCTCTCAGACTGTAAAAATGAAAAAACAAACGATGCAAAGGTGTGATAGCTAGTGCGATAAGCTGAACAAGCCGAGCGTTGCTGTTTTGGGAATGTTTTGAAGAAGTGGGCTTGGTGGGCTCCAGTCTTTTAAACATATTTCATTGGAGAGAGCCTGTTTTCAAAGTTTATACAAATCAAAAAAGTCAATCCCAAAAGTCAAAGTAAAAAAACAAGTCAAATCAGAAAGGTTCAGAAAGTCAAAAAACAGTCCATTTGCCTAGATCCGACTTTTTTTTGATCTTTTTTGATATTGTTTGTCGACTTTTTTTGACATGTTGTCAACTTTGTTTGACTTTTTTGATGCTTTTGTTTGGACTTGTTCGAGTGGTTGACTTGTTTTTGACTGTTTGTTTTTACTTGTTCGATGTTTTTGATTTTGACTTTTTTGACTGTTTTCGACCTTTTTTGACTTTTCAATTTGACTTTGACTGTTTTTGACTTTTTTTTAATCAAGGATTCTGGCCTTACCATATGAGAGATCTTTATAACTCCAGTGCTATTGAAAATGCAAGTGTTGGTAAATTGAAACATCTTGTGCCAGTGGTGGCCTCTTTTTTGGGAGGGTGTTGGACATGCTGACCCCGCAAACAGCGGTTGGATGTCATCAACCGCCACCAGCGGTGGCCACCCGTCCGCAACCAAACAAGCGATGAATTTCACGATGAAATCTTATCTGCACGACGATCGCATCAGTCAAGTTTACGAACACAAAGTAAATATCATGCCTCTGGAGAATCATGCCAACAAGCACGAAGCGGCATCATCTTAAGAACCCTCACACAGCATCGCAGGAATCGTCAAGTCTATTCACGAAGCAACATCCGTATCTGCATAGAGCACATGTCCAGCCGAAAATAACATGCAAGTGCCTCATAACATGGACTTTCTGTGCCCAGTTAGGAGTTCGACCGGTTCCAATCAAGCCATAAAGATGGGGTGCGGGTCAAATTTGGATCTAAGTACCATCACCCAACAACGATAATGTTTGGGCACAACTTCAGCGGATTGTGTCTTCCGTGCTGGTGCCACTTAAATCACCGAACTCGAAATTGGTCGAGGGCAGCGCCTAAAATTCCTACAGCATGTGGTGATGGAGAACTGTTTCCTAATTATCATCGCCATCTTGGGGGTCAAAGCTTCAGTACTGCACGCGTCAAAGTTGTGGCTGCTGAAGGGCTCCGGCTCTCGCCTTAGGAGCTTCACCAAGCAGTCAAGCTCAAGTTTGGACAGTGAAATGTGCTTTCAAAAAAAGCTCCTAGTAGCTTCTTGTTCCTATTTGTTCCTAGTAGTAAGGTCAGGAGCCCCTAGTAGCGTCATTGCTCCTAGTAGCGATGCCAGGAGCCCCTAGTAGCTTCTTGTTACTAGTAGTAAGGCAGCACCTTCACCTTCATTGATTCCGCTTCAAGCGTCAGTGTCAAGCGGATTCCCAGCAAGCAAAGACTAGTGCCATGCCAAGCTTGGTGCTTGGCGCCGCACTTGTAGTGAGGGATGGGCAAACCACCTCCCCGCCGAGAATTCAATGCAAGCTGGTCCAAAGTGCGGCCCTGCCACCTCAATGTCTCAAGTCTCGAGCTGCTCGACTCAGTTGGAGGCCAACGCAGTCAATGAAACAAGAAGCTATTAGTAACAAGTGCATCGCTAGTAGTAACAGGTGCCTTACTACTAGTAACCAGAAGCTATTAGTAACAAAATAGCGATGGCCTCCAACCTACTAGCGTCCTCTTGTTCCTAGTAGCGATGCCAGGAGCCCCGTTCGTAGCGTCCTTGCTACATTACATCCACATGTTTGTTTACTAGTCCTAAATCACATCATATACTTCCTTTCTCGTGTACTTGTGTTTAGCTTGAGATCTTGGTTGCAAGATCACATCTCTTAAGTGCAGTGCTCAAACAACTTCATTTCAGCCATTCAAAGAGCCACCTAAGGGAACATTCACTTCACAATATGGTCAAGCCGCAGGCTCCGAACCAGGACAAAGCGCCAAAAGGCCAACGGTGGTGCAAACAGACCCGGACGTCGCAAACGAACCGTTTTTCACACTGTTTTCATGGCAAAGCCTTGCGACCAGCCTCTTTCCCCAAAGGAACTGCTTTTTGGTTTCACTGCGAAGTGAGCCCGAAGGGCCCCGTTACAAGATCCCGTAGGGCTGAAAGTGGGACCGTTTTCACTGATTACAGCATCATACACTCACGCTGCTTGTCTTTAAAGACCTCTATTCAGTTCTAGTGTTCGGACAATTCAGCTAGATCAGCTAGACAGCTCTTTACACATGCCTCGTTCCTTTTACATTATTTCTTTGTGTTTAACCGATCGGAGAGCTATTTTTTCAGCAAGCTTCTTCCTGTCCTCCTTCCAACTGTCCAGTCCTTCCAAAACAACTAGCACCATCCACAGTGGCACCAGCCTCAAAACCTTTGATACTCAAACAACATGCAATTGCACTTGTAAAGTTCTTGGAACCAAATTAAATTAGTAAATGTGCGTGCGCTTCCTTGAAGAAGCGTGAGCCATCCTGCGTCCTGTTGGTAGTAGGGTGTTTAGTACAACTAGTAGCCTATACCCGCCTATACCTCTTCCTCCAGTGGCTTACCCCCCGGGCTTAAAAGAATACATAACAATAGCAATAAACGATGTTTCTATCTCAAACGTGTTGATCCAAGAAGCTCTGTGTGGGGTGATGGGCTTCTCTCACGCGGCTCGGTGGTCCACGCCCTCGGCTCCTCCTCTGGAGGGGGAGGCCGTTGCGTCAGCTGTTGGGACTGTGCCCGCGCCATCAAGCGAAATTCCAAGGGTTCGGTGTAGGGTCCTTAAGAAATTGGTCTGGAACGAGAATCACTTGCATACTTCTTACATATGCATTACATGTCATCATCGATATTCAGTGAATGGAAATCTTGTGGATGGGGAACCCCTTCCTTTAGAAGAGTAAGCTCTGGCACTCACGTTTGATACTTGGATACGCCGGCCCTTTGGAGGAAAAAGGACAAAGGAAAAAAACAACAAGTGATTGACTACAGTTTGGAAAGGGACTCACATCATGACGCCACAGGCAAGTTATGCTAGCTGCCTGATTTTGACAGCTTGAACCGGACGCATCAACAAGGACGCTATGCTGGGTGGAGGCCATCGCAAGTAGGTTGGAGGCCATCACTACTAGTAACAAGAAGCTACTAGTAACAAAGGGCATCGCTACTAGGAGCAAGGAGGCTACTAGTAGTAGCAAGAAGCTTTCTTGGGAATTCCCAGTGAAACGATTCCCAGGACAATTCTGCAATGCGATCGATCGATCGAAGCATTGGCTGCCAGGGCATCTTCCCCAACAGTACACTCTACAAACCTAAGCTCTAGAGGTGTGCAAAAGGACATACAGTAAAAAGATGCAAAACAACTAAATCAATAGACATACTTTGAAAACACATGTTCTTATTCCTCTTTTTTCTGTCTTTGCTTCAGCTGTTTTAGTTTCATCTTTGTTTTCCGTACAAACCTACGCCCTAAACGTGTGCAAAACAAGTAGAAAGCAGCCAGGTGTTCGTTGACTTTTCTCCAGCACTTTGTCGGGAGGGTGAGACAAGACATTGCTGAGCTCTAGACTTTGTTCGCTTTTTTCTCAAGCTTCTAAAGTTTCAATCCAAAGCCCTTTGCGTTGGAAAGAGTCTCCTGCAGGGTGTGACACAAGACAAACAGTTCGACAAAACCTAAACTGGGAAGCTCGCTGGGGAAGTCTCCTTGGCAAATAGCATGACTTGCACCCATTCCTTGTCTGACCTCAGAAGCTCTTCAAAAAAAGCAAGCGGAGCTGCCTGTCCTATTACTTTGAAGCTACTAGGAACAAAGGGCATCGCTACTAGGAGCAAGGACGCTACTAGTAGCTCCTGGCATTACTACTAGTAGCAAGAAGTTACGAACGGAACAACGGTCTTCCAAAAGGGAAGGCCTGTCTTCCCTGCCTGGTCTTACGAATGAGACATACACGTGAAAGACCGCTTCGGAGGACTCCAAAGGCGCGGACTCTCCCTTCAGCTCGACAATGTTCATGATGAAATGCTTGGTTCGCCAGTCGATGGACGGATGCAACTCATGCAGTCCGAGCTTGTATTTCATCACATCTTCCTTTTCATCGTAGACCTGCCGTTTCAACCAGAAATGCCTTGGGCAGGAAATTATGAAGGAAGCACACAGGGCAAACATGCCCCTCAAACCGGATTCGACATCTCATCCAGCTTTTGATTGATGATGACCTGAGCTCAAACAACCGTCCAGCACGGCTCCAAGTCAAAGCCAAGCAACAAACCAAAGTGACGAGAACACCAGTTTAACATCGCGTATTCTTTCATAGTCAATGTGCAGCGGCTGAAGGGAACTAAAGCACTTGTTCCATGTAGTCCCTCTTCAAATAACGGATGTCGGCGATCTGGGAAAGAGTATGTTGCTTGCATTCTTGAGGCGAATCAGGATGCATGTTGAGGTGACACGGAACATCAAGTCCAGAAGTACGGATGATGCGATTGAAGATCATTCATTGAAGCTAGATTTAAAGACTTGAAAAGGATATATTATAGCAAAAGGACGCTACTGGGGGGCTCTTGGCATCGCTAATAGTAACAAGAAGCTACTAGGGCTCCTGGCCGTACTACTAGGAGCAAGGACGCTACTAGGGGCTCCTGGCCGTACTACTAGGAGCAAGGACGCTACTAGGAACAAAGGGCATCGCTACTAGGAGCAATGCGCGATCATAGGGCAAACCAAGGCGTGTCAAACGGTCTGAGCTAGAGACGCAAAAGCAGGTGTTGCGGAGCTCTGCCTCCGACAAAGGAGCCATATGCATGGCATCACAAACCAAAGGCGTGGCATGTTCCTTATTTTGGAGTATTCTGACTGTTTCACCTGTCCCTCAACATCCTCCGGAACTGTGTTTCAAGGCGAGGGGCTTCAAGAAAGCCAAGTTTCTTCTACGGTTAATGGAGGAAATCCTGCAGAGAAGACTTTGGTCCAAAGCAGCAGCTGCACACTTTGGCACCGTACAGCGTGGAGCAAAAAGCCTTAGCTTACCTTTCATCAAGGCCTGCCCCCCAAAGAATAAGCATGGACCGCATGGAATACAAGAAGGAAAGCCAGGTCCTGTTGAAGATATGATTGGAAGGCATGATGGTCTCGCTGCAAGGTGTTTCCAACCATTCAGAGTTCAACGAAATGCTTGCACCTCGCTCATGAGTACGTGCAGGTGTCGCTTGGCTGCATCAATCCTCTCCGATGTGCTGAGGAGACATTCCAACAAACGAAAGGGCACAGTAGGCATGCGGCATAAGTAGTAGACATAGGACACTTAGACGCTTATCAACAAATTGCTTAAGAATTGTCTGACTCCGTATTCTGCTCTATCGATTGCTTGCACTGGATGTGCTGACCTTTCTTCGGTCTCATCCCCAGCGACCACAAAGACGACACAATGGATCTTGATGGACTGGTAGAAAAGCTTCCAAATGTGCCTGAAATGAAGTATCAAGACTCACAAGTATCCCACAGAGGTCACGCACTACTGACTCCTTGCCCTACTGCTATGGAAGTGACATAGTAAGTGAGATGAACAAAGGAAAACCGGTCCCATCCTGGGGGTAAATCACACCGGTAAGGTTTTGCGAGCCTTTCTACTTGGACATCTGCTTAATCCGCCTTGCGTAAACCTTGTGTGAGGGAAACCGTGTGAAAGTCCCTCCGCTCGCTCAGTGGCCTCATTGCTTCGGTTCCAGGAACTTCCCACACACCCACAGAGAAGGACCTTGTCAGCTCCTGGTGGCAGCAAACAAGAAAGAACAAAATAGAACACCTACAGCAGGTGGAATGGCCTCCAACCTAACGGCGACGACCTCCAACCTAGTAGCGATGGCCTCCAACCTACTAGCGACAGCCTCCACCCTAGTGGCGATGGCCTCCGCCTTTGATCTAGTAGCTAGATCAAGTTCACCTCCATGACTTCCAACGGAAAAGACAGAGGTGCATTGGTGACTCGCTGTTGCTGTTGACAGGCCTCATAGTGATAGCCTGGGTCTTCCACCTTTCCATCTTGAGGTGTTCGCATATCTGCCATGTCAGAGGCAATGTTCGTCCATCCAGATCCAATCTTGAGCCTTCAAGGTGCATCAAGCTGCACTGAAAGACCAGAAAAGACTTAAGATGTGGAACATATATCAAAGCCACGCGTGAACCACATCAATACATTCAGAGATCAGTACCAAATGTTCTCATTGGAAAGGACATGGACCACAGTTAGAGTCAGGTGACACGTCGCATCACTGCATCACTCCCTAATAGAAAAATGGTGCTGTTTAATCCAAGATTGGTGCGGTTACAAGATTGACTTGACATGCTAGGCCGCTTGCAAGACTCACAAATTGAAAACCTGTGACTGGTCACCTCATGCACTTCCCTGTAATTACACCTGTAATTACGCCGGGCCTGTAGAGCAAGGTTGTCTTGCCCGATTTGTCCAGGCCCAGAATGAGGAATTGAGGGAACTCGCTGCTTCCGCTGATGAGGCCTCCCGAAAATCCAGCACACCTAGGCGAAGACTGCGGCAAATCTCTGCCAAGAACACGCTCTAGCTTCAGGCCATCTCTACTAGGTTGGAGACCATCAGTAGTAGGTAGAAGCATCAAATCTCTTTTTCAGAAATTGAAAGGCTCGGGCTTGGAAAACAAGGACTTGATGATGGACATGGGCCTCCACGGTACTCCAAAGAATGACCAGAACCTTCAAAAAGTATTTTTAGTTCAATCGCTTGCAACATTCTTCTTAATCAGGCTGCCTTCAAGATTGAGTTTGCAACGTCACAAATTCAAAGAAGACATGGCGCTTGGAAAGTTGGAAACTTATCTAGATTCTAGTGACCTAGACACCTAGTGCTTTGGCTTTGCAATGTTGGAGCGAATAAATGAATAAACTCAACAGCGTGTCAAGAGTCTTGCATTCAAATAGTTCATGATGGTGACAGGAAGAAATCCTTGCTTCACATACATCAGACCATTTCAGACATTGCATCATTGACCAAGGTTGCTCTTTGAGACTGGAACAGCGCACAATTGAAGAAACAATGTCCAGTCAGAGGCATGCAAGGCAGGTTGTATCGACTGCCGCGAGTTGAATCGACAGCTGCGCGCGTTTTGGGTGGCCAGGCCGAGCCTCTTTTCTTCTTTGGAGCCTCTTTGGGCCATTCTGAATCTTCTCAGAGAAAGCTCGGATTTGGATTGGGATCATAGGCGGCCTGACCAAGAGCTTGCGAGCAATAGTGTGACTGCAGCCTGACTGCCGAGCCTCTGTTGGAGCACATGGGTAAGCAACCTCAACACGGCGTCTATCGGCACTGCTATCATCAGATACTTCATGCAGAAACCTTCAAATGAGCCAAATGTGCCGAAGTGCTTGATGCCCAGAATTGTGTGGGTACACAAACCTACTGATGTCAGACCAATCGCTTTCTTGTCTTCGGATACCTAGGTGAAGGGCCGAGAAGAGGAAGTGTGCAAATGACTGCACTCTGCGAATGGCATGGGCCTAGGCTCTCCGAAGATCAACCAAGCTCAGCTCTTGAAGCTTTGTCTAGCTTCAATAGCATCAGCCGCAGAGTAAAAAACCGATCATCCAAGGGAAAAGGGTTGTTATCCTGACATGACATGGAGGCCATCGCTAGTAGGTTGGAGGCTATGCTCATTTGACTTAGCCTTTGGCGATCCGAAGTGCCTCATCATGGGAAAGTTCGCCCCACATCCGGGCACCCTGGTCTGTCATGTCGGTGTCCCACATGCTGCCCTGGCCATAGCACTTTTAGCAAAGCTTCAAAAAAAGAGCCAAGAAAGCACGGTGGTAGAAAGGAAAACAAGTCTAAAGGTCTTGAACAGGAAAGAAAACAAGAAAAAGCAACAGAAGGAAAAGTGAAGAGTACATGTAAAGCATTCGCGTTTCTTGCTTCATGTTGCTCCTAGTCGAAAGGGGTGCTCCATTCCAAACTCAAGACCGATGCGTTCCTGTGAAATACCACTACTAGCACTCCAGCTTAGAGCAAGATTGCTCTCTGTTGGCAACAAAAGTTGATCTTTCTAAAGCATGATTGCTGTCTACTTGTCTTTTCCGGTGACCTTTAGACCTTTCTTTCTGTTTGTTTTGCTTTCGGAAAGTATTCTGCTTTGTACTTCCTGGAACCGGTTCTTGTCCCATTTTGAAGCCCCCAGATAAAAGGCCTGCTTTATCTCGTCAATGGAGGTCATCACATTGGCCAGCCGGCGCATATCGTCCTAAAATGATGGCAACGGACAACCTGACTAGAAGAAATACACTACCCGTGGCCAAGATCCCCAGATTCCCGCAGCAAACACTGAGAAGCACTCAATATCATATCTGGCAAAAGACCTACAAATGTTGGCACCATCTTGTTACATTTGCGTGCAATCACCCGGCATCAATTTCTGCAAGGAGCATTAGTGGGCATTTTGCCCATGCTAGAACGCACCGCCAATGGTTCAGTGAGCTTATCCAGCCTTGAACAAAAAACGCATTGTTGTGTATCAGGCAATATACGTCATGATCTTGTCAAGTCTTGTAATGAGGATTAATGAGGCACTGCTTTTGCCCTGAGAATTCAGCTTTTGCAGCAACCCCCAGTACCTCTGGGAAGATACGATGGAAGTAACTGCTGCCTTCCGTTTCCTGCTGACAATAATTTCAACGAGCAACTGCTACTCAACAATCCTTGTGACAGAAACAACCTCCAAACAAAACACGACTTTGATAAGCTCCATGTCTAGTTGATCAAATGCCCCCTTCTCTTACGGCACACGGTCCGGGCATTAAGCGAAAAGTGAGCTTCTCGGCTTCCTGGTTAGCACCTGTCAAGCAAACGGAACTTTCTCGCGTCAAAAGGGGTGAGGCATTAAAGGCAAAATGACACATTCAAGAAACGTTAAGTTGCATTCATGAATCGAAATCGAAAATGCAAACAAAAACAATTGAGCATTTCATGTCCAACATGTTAAGTTGCCCACAAAATCTCGGAACCAAATCAATCATGCAATGGGTTCTTCAAGGCAGCTCTCCCCCTGCCCTCAGGCGGAGCGAGCTTCCTTGAAGAATCACGAGCTTTTCTGTGTTGCTGTGTGGCGCCTAGTCGCTTGCTAGATTCCTGCTACTACTTGCTACTAAACCTAATAGCGATGGCCTCCAACCTACCAGTGATGGCCTCCAACCTCATAGCGATGGCCTCCAACCTAACAGCGATGGCCTCCAACCTAATAATGGCCTTCAACCTAATAGCCATGGTCTCCAACCTAATAGCGATGGCCTCCAACCTAATAGCGATGGCCTCCAAACTCACTATAAGCGTTATTTACTACTCTTACTAGTTAGCTTAGCTTAGCCACCGGTATGCTTACCTAGCCTCTCCACGACCAGACTTCACTGCCTACACCCCCAGAGTATCTAAAACATACACATCGTGTGTCCATCTCTTTACATTTTGTACCAAAAACATATCCATGTTTGTAGCAAGGCGTAGTGGCGTCCATTCCCGGCGAGCAGGTGGATCCAGTGGCTTCGCTTAGGTGCTTACATAAAAGGTCTGGTCCCTGAGCCTGATAGCAAATGCATACTCTGATGAGATCAAAAGCGTGCGCACAGCTGCTCAGCAAAGCTACGGGCACCTTTAAACTTCCCCAGGGCATAGCCAATCTTGGGCATGTGGCAGGCAACAAAAGTCAGCTGACAAAGCTATTGTTGTCAGGGGCAGTCCTTCAGCTACTGAAATGCATGAGTTCTTGTTGGCCAAACAGGGATGGATTGGATTAGTCCTTTTTCTAAGGTGAAACAACAACAAAGGCTGTTTAAAGAAGTTCCGCAAAATGTGTGGCTGCAGCCTCTCTATGAAAGTGAAATCCAAGCTAGTGGCCAACCATGGATCACACTCATCCCGCGCCAAGATCTTGGTTCAATGCAGTTTGATTTCGTTGATTTCATACAAAATCAAAAGGCATAAGTGAAAGTTGAAAGGCCCTAAGGTATTTTCTAGAGTTCTTGACTTGACACCACTACCTCTTGTGCTTTCAAAGACCTTAAGGTTGGAATGCCATGCTTTGGCATTCTTCGTTTCACGTCCAAGACCAAGCATCTCACATCCCAAGATTGGAGCTTCCACACAGGGCCGTGTTTTGGAACTCCTGCCAGAGTCGTATGAGGCCAAGCCCGGCCAAGCCCAAAGGCCAGTAGACTGTTCCTTTTTCTTCTGCGTTTAATTTGCTTCTTTGGACCTTGAGTAAATATTAGACGCTTTCTTTGGTGCGTTCTTAATCTTCAAAACATAAACGGTGAGTGACGTTTCTTTTTTGACTGTGAAAAACTGTCTTCAGCCTGTCTTGAGGCGCTGCTGGCCATTAGAGTAAAAATGCTGCAAGCGCATTCTTCACCGTCTTCACCCCGCCTAGACCAGCTTTGTCTACAAACCTCTGCGCAGAATTGCCACCCATCATGCTATCCAAACCTTCCGCTGCCCCTGAAATCCCACGTTGGGCCAGATTGCCCTTGGGAACACTGCCTGGACAGCAAAATGTGAATCTGAGTTGAAACAAATGCATGAAAGTCAACAAGGAAAACAGTGGAATACCTATACAGCAAGTTGCCCCAACAAGGCATTCTTCAGGTACCAACGCTAGTAGGTTGGAAGCCGTTCCTATTAGGCTAAGAAACTAGACCTAACCAAAGCGACTAAGTACCTAACCAAAGCGACTGGATCCAGCTCTTAAGGTACCAACTTGTATGTCCCATCTTTGGCCGAAGAGTTCACTCCTGAGCGTTCAGGTTGGAGGGGAGCTTCTGGGAAGCGAGTCGATTCAGGCGAGCTGCGGCAGACATCACGTTCCCATTGACAGATGAAAGCTGTGGAACAGCTGAAACTCAAACCCAAGGGCTTCAATGTTGCATTATTCTTATTCAAATTCTGAGATACATAGTCACATAGTGAAGGGCAAGAAAGAGACATCTAGTCTTGTGCCATGGATGGTGCATGTCATTTGTGTTCACGTGGTCAACCCAATGATGTGGCATGTCTTGACATGATTCACTCTGACCTTCTACTTTGACGATATTCCTGCCCAACAGGCAGCTGCGAATGCACGAAGCATAACATGGTGTTGAATAATCATAAAGCAAGTCACACGTTGCGAATTGCTGGTTTGTTTTGACTGTCCTGCAATAGCAAGAGCTCGAACCCAACATTCCCTAACCTTTTTACCCCAAAATCCAGCGCTCGGCGCTCACATCCTTTTTTGCTGATGCATCCCAGAAAGTTCTCAAGGTAACGAACATCAACGTGAAGTCGCCCCACACCCACACCATACAAGTACATGACAGCTTCACTCATGACACTTGGCAGCACCTACAACGAACGTCAACATTGCCCCATGCTTTGCAAGCACCAAAAATGTTTGCTCTGTTCCTCAGTCCCTTTGAAAGCAACACCGCACAACATTGCCAAGACATGGCGAAGCGCAAGACCATGCCCAAACAATGAAGTGAGTTGTCAACAGGTGTCTGAATACAAGCAACCACGTGGTAAACCTATGTAGTAATTACTTTATGTTTGCTGCTGTACCTTCTAGCAAAGCCGTTTCTGAACCAGTCAGCCTGGTTGCATCGGGATTCTTTGTCCCGTCACTTCGTCCTACGGTGCCGTGAAGCGGGTTCAGTTGCAAGCAAATTGCGTCCTGAGCGCAAAGTGTATGCAGAACAAACAAACGCTTTCGGGACAAATGAGGGCAAACGCAAAGACATGCATGCAAATCGTTGGTATTGGGAGGTAGTTTCTCAACAGCTTGCATTCTCATTCAAAAGTGATGGATTGAATTTTACAACAAGTACGGGTGAGGAAACTTCCAGTTGGATCTGTCTGGACCTTCCTGTGCATCTTTTTTGCTCCCCACAACTACATTGCATGGCCACTTCCCTGCAAGTACGAGTGATTCCCACCATGTAAGTAGGTGGAACAGCTCAACAACAGTGGCTTACACAACTACATGCTATGCTACCTACTAGAGAAACATCAGCTGCAGATGAAGGTCTCACAGAAGCGACGGAAATCCCAGATCAACTCACGGAAGCTCAAGTTGCGGCTCTATATCCGCAGTGGCATTGGACCACGCCGAAATCAAAGTTTAATTGAGCGGACATGCCACCACCCAAGTCGTGGCATCATGGGGCTGAGGCCTGGGTAGTTGTTCGCAGCTTTTTAACCCAACTGCAGTGGATGTGCCATGACAGTGAATCCTTTTCGCTTTGTGAGCTGGCTGTGGCATTCCATTCCGCTGGATGTCGCATTCCGGGTGATCAGCTGACCTTGACATTCCGTCATTGATCCTGCGTGAAGCTTTGCTGCACAAGAGTGAAAAGGCCCAACCCTTTCCTGGTCGCTTCAACGCTTTCCTGGTCGCTTGTGGCCGCATGCCGCATTGCGGCTGCATTGAAGGCGCTGTTCGATTTGTTCCGGCCGAAGGCGCTGACCGGCGCTGACCGGCGACTTGAGACATGGTCGATATCTGTACATGATTGGTGGAGACTCGGCGTGATCTCTCTTCACCTGAGGAAACGCCCGTGTTCGGACACTCTGGGTGATGCGGTGCCTGGTGTCAGGTTGTTGGTGATCCTTAATTTGTGATTTGCAGTGCGATGAAGTGCATGATGTGGTGATTATGTGATATGGTTTTCTCCAAAGGTGGCAAGCCACTGTTCAGGTCTGGTACTTGGCGTCAAATGCGCTGGGCGAGTCTAGACTGGCAAGTAGTCGGGAGAAGGAAGCGCAAGCGGTGCTTGCGCACAACCTTTGACGCGCAGTTTGAGACTTAAATCTGATTTACCAAGCGTCTCTTGAGCATGTCCGCTGTGCTGAGACCAGCGACAAAGCAAGCCGTCACCTGTCTTGCACAGTGCAAAGTGTGCGAGAATGATGAACCTCCTTTGGCCATGTCTTATCTTCGATTCCATGCAAAGTGATCAGTTTTTGTTTAATCATCCATTGACTCAAAAGCCCCAGGATCAAGCTAAGAGTGTGAGGGGTCAGTATTCAATGTGTGCAAAGCGTGCAAACCGAAATGAATCGAACTTGCACATTGTATTCTCACAGTCTACATGCTCCGTCCAAATTCATGCCAGAAAGTACTTGTATGAAAGAATGAGTACTGCACGCCCATAGTACAGAATAAACAGATATGCAGATATGCATGAGAGTTGCTTGTCAATTCTGTCTCCAACAAGGAGACAAGGAAGAAAGAAACGAAGGATAAGAGAAAAGGTCTAAAGACAAACAATCTCAATTGTACTTCAATAGAAAAAGAAAGAAGAGCAATGATGCCAAAATGCTTGAACATGTTTTCAGCTCTTTCATGTCCCAAAGAATGAGATGAGTCTTGAGCTGAGCTGCAGCCCCAGCGCCCGCACCGAACAGGCTGGACTGCGCCGCCAGCGCTGCGAAGGCTGCGGTGGCAGAAGAGGCCAACGCACCGAACAGCGCAATCAACTGAGACGATGCGACGATACCCCGCAAAGAGCGACCCAAAAAAAACAAAGTGTTTCAGCGGCATGTCCTTTTACTAGCAGCTTCTTGTTCCTAGTAGCGATGGCCTCCAACCTACTTGCGATGGCCTCCACTTAGTAGCGTCCTTGCTATTTTAGATCTATAGTATCTATAGTTTCTTTTAACAACTTGTGTTCCGTTCTATTATTTTCTATGTCGTTCTTTTTTCTATCTTTCCTTCTGAGAAACAAAAGTGAGCACGACGTCTTCAAGAGGCCTCAAGAGGCCTTTCTGCGTAAACAGTTTTTACCCGTGGACCGCGGACTGTTTGCTGCTATCCGATGCTAGATTAGGAATGTCGCATGTGCCTTACCCGCAACTACCAGCAAATGTTTGCTTTAAAAAGTCTTAAGTCTGCATACTTCGGAATGGTTGCCCCTAATTAAGACCAGCTGAAGCAAGAAAGGGCTCCAGTCCAGATCCCAAAAGGGTTGTAAGGCAAACAAAGGGCATCGCTACTAGGAGCAAGGACGCTACTAGGGGCTCCTGGCCTTACTCCTGGGCTACTGATAAAAGCCGAAACGACCAACGCGCTCCACCCAACTGATCGGACCAAGCAAGGCGCTCCAACTGGCTGTCGGAGGATAACTCGCTGTCCAGTATTGTCCGGACTCCAACCAGCAGCACGGCCTGGATGGCAAAAATGTCGAGGCCATCGCTACTAGGGTGGAGGCCATCGCTATAGGTTGGAGGCCAATGCTACTAGGATGGAGGCCACTAGGGTGGTTGGAGGCCATCGCTACTAGGGTGGAGGCCATCGCTATAGGTTGGAGGCCATCGCTACTAGGATGGAGGCCATCGCTACTAGGGTGGAGGCCATCGCTACTAGGTTTGAGGCCATTAAGGGCATCGCTACTCTTACTTTTGCGCTTTGGAATTTTTGATTTTTTTGTTTTTTCAATTGGGGTTGAAGTTTGGCTGTTTGAAGGTTTTGCTACCGCCTCAAAAGTTGTTCACGCTTCTCGATGTGTAGGGTCGCGTCCGACTGTAATTCATCACCAAGTTCAGCTCTATTTAGGACAGTCCCATCTTAGCAGGTAAACTTGTAGTCATGTTAACCGAACATTTGCACCTTCGTTGACACTTCTAGAAAATATTTTCTCGATTTGTCAATACTGTTTTCTCGAGGAAGGGAAGAACAGATATTTGGGCCTTGGAAATTTTAATTTCCGTTTCTTGACGCCGCCATGTGGCTCTGAATGGGCTTGCCTTCCCAAGTGGGGTTTGCTGAGTACTTTGGCTGCTTCGGCCAGGCGAGGCCACTGGCTGCTTCGGCCAGTTGCCTGAATTGAGCAACTGGTTCAGCAGCTTTGCTGTTCAAGTCCTTGCCCAGGAGTTAGACCCACAGTAAGCCAAGGCTGACTGGCTGCTTCGGCCAGCTGCCTTTGCAAACTTGCCCTCTAACTGGGCTAGGTTAAGGTCAGGACCAGGAGCCAGAGCATGCTGCGCCAAAGCCTGTCATTGGCTGCTTCGGCCAAGACAGGAGCTTTACATGGGAAGAAAGAAACACGCCAGGCTTGTAAGGAGAGGCCTTTTAGCCTGCTCCAACCGAGCCTCGGGAACGTTCTTGAACCTCCTAAGGAGCAGACTGTTGGGAAAAAATCTGTTCACTTTGTAGAATTCTAGGACTGTCTGCTTTTATCTTGCTCCAACCGAGCCCCGGGAACGTTCTTGAACTTTGTAAGGAGTAGTCTGTTAGTCACCCTTGTAGGAAGCTCAGGCACATGATTCTCGTCCGCCGTAGCTGTTGCCAAAACAGTAAAGTTAGAGAAGTTGGGCCTCTGGCTGCTTCGGCCAGGCCCCACAGACACTCGTCATGCCTTAGCCTAGCCCAGTCAGAGTTTGGAAAGGGAGCTGGCCGGTCGGCCTTGGCTTACTGTGGGCCTACCTCCTGGGCAAGGACTTGAACAGCAAAGCTGCTGAACCAGTTGCTCATTCCAGTGTCATTAGGACTTGACCATGCTCTTTTGAATTGAACTTAAGGTTGCTCCAACCAGGGGTTCCAGCCAAGCATGGGAACCTCCAACCAGGCTGATTATTGCAGCCGTGCCGTTTACAAACTTTGGAAAACGTGTTCTCGAGTGGGGCTTGCCTTTTTCTCGAGCGGGCGCTGCAAAGTTATTTTTGGACATGGGAAATTAACATTCCCCTGTTGCCCTTCAACTATCATATTCTCACAAGGTCCCGTCAAAACCTTGAAGTTGGCTGGCGTTGCATGCCTTGTTTTGTACAATGCACTTTGCCACAGCTGTTTGCTTAGACCCTTGAGCAGGAAACTCTATAGGTCTATATTGAAATCTCGATTTTGCACCTAGAATGGTATTGCTCGAGGAAGACCACACCAGCCCTTTCACAGAGTCAAAAAAATATCCCAAATTCCAAAGTGCAAAAGTAAGTACTAGGCTGGAGGTCATCGCTACTAGGGTGGAGGCCATCGCTATAGGTTGGAGGCCAATGCTACTAGGATGGAGGCCACTAGGGTGGTTGGAGGCCATCGCTACTAGGGTGGAGGGCATCGCTATAGGTTGGAGTTAATTGCTACTAGGTTGGAGGCCATCGCTGCCATTGCTCCTAGGTTGGAGGCCATCGCTATTAGGGTGGAGGCCATTGCTAGTAAGTTGGAGGCTATTGCTGCTAGGTTGGAGGCCATCGCTACTAGGGTGGAGGGCATCGCTATTGGGTTGGAGGCCATTGCTACTGGGTTGGAGGCAAGCTACTAGGGTGGAGGCCATTGCTATTAGGTTGGAGTCCATTGCTAGTAGGTTGGAGGCCATCGCTACTAGGGATCATTGCATCGCTAGTAGTTCGGAGGCCATCGCTAGTAGGTTGCAGGCCGTTGGAGGCCATTGCTAGTTGGAGGCCATCGCTATTGGGTTGGAGGCTATTGCTATTAGAATCTATTAGGTTGGAGGCCATCACTACTAGGGTGTAGGCCATCGCTATTGGGTTGAAGGCCATCGCTAGTAGGTTGGAGGCCGTTGGGGCCATTGCTACTAGGTTGGAGGCCATCGCTAATTAGGTTCTGTCATCCCTACTATGAGGTTTGGTCGTGTGTTCCAGACTTGACGACTCCTTACTGGCAGGCAAAAAGTTTCACAAGAATCGGCTTGACCCCTTAGCAGTAGGCAATGTCACGGAACTTCTCTCCAAATGGATCTGTGTCCCTTCAACTACCGCCAGCCTAGGCCATGTGAAAGAAGTGGGCCTGCGCTCTAAGGTTTGAGTAAGTCTCACACTCAGCTATACTGAAAGCAGGAACATGCAAGAACGCTTAACTTGTGTGAAGCCTGTACAACCAAAGACGCCACCAATCAGTGCGGCATGGCACTCAGCCTGGGAAGAGTTTGCTTCAGCTTTGATCCGTGAAGCAAAATGTGTGCTGACAACTGTAAGACTCTGCATGTCTTTCACAAAGTTGAGCCTGGGTTTGGGGTCCAAGGCTTTACCAATGTGGCACACGTCCGCAAAGTTCTTTTTGGCATTGTCCAGTTCAAGGATCAGCTGAGATGGACGCCATTCATTTACTCAGGTGCACTGCAATGGTCAAGGCATTCGCCATTGAACCACAATGGCTGAAGTGAATATGTGTAGCATCAGTGCCATCAGGGCTGGAAGCATCAAATTCAACAACCCTGATGCCCAGAACATCCCAGAACCACTTGCTTATCTTTTCCGCCAGCAAACGGACACGTGCATGTCCGCTACACCAACACAGAGGTAGTTCAGTTTTCGCAAACCAACGGATTTCTTCAGCGAAAACTGATACGCATCGACTGCTGTGCAGGTTGCCTTCTGTTGCTGGGGGCCTGAGTCCTTTCATTGTGGAGCTAATGGGCACGTGGCATGCATAATTGATCTTCGCTATCAGGTTGGAGGCCATCGGAATCGCTAGTAGGGCTGCAAGGCGCAGCCGGGCCTTTCTATTTGCAAAACCACATCGAATCGTTAGTAGTAACAAGTGCCACGCTAGTAGTAACAGGTGCCTTACTAGTAGTAACAAGAAGCTATTAGTTCTTGCTTTCCGTATCGATGCCCTTCTCGGACTCGGAAGATCTCGTGGAGCGCGACCAATTCATTCGACACTTTGAGCCGAAGCAAGGGCCACGTGTCGGCCGCGAAACTGAGGCCGTTTGAAGTCTCGGATTCACAATAGGCATCCCTTGGTTCTTAATTGTCAGCTGTTTGTGTTTGTCTATGAACGGAAGTTTCAACAAGACCAGCAAGAAACATGTTGAATCATAGCCATGAAGTTCTGAGGTGCTCAAACACAATGCTTTTCATGTCGACATAGGCCGTGTGCTAAGGTATCAGTGATACCCCTGTTGTCTTGAGGGTTCGACGAGTTGTGGAAGGTTCGACCTTCATCCACTCAGTAGATCTCATTGTTTCCGAGTGTTGACGCCAAGGTCTTGTTTGCCACGTCCTGAAGTTTGGGCTGTTCGACCTGACCGACAAAATACGGCTGCGAGCGACGACGAAGGCAAACAAACACAGTCTTCTGCATTGTTTTTTCCAAACACATGTTTGTCATGTAAAAAAGCATGTGATAAAGACGAGAAAAACAAAAAGAACAGTGGTTTAAACAAAAAGGAAAAGAACGGTCTGAACAAGAAAAAGGGAAGCGGAGAAACACACTCTGCTGCGCCTTGAAGATTTCTTTCCCAAATTGTTTTGCCTGAGTGCAAAGTGGCACAACTGCGAGTGTCTGCGTTCTGGGCAAGGGACACAAATTCCAAATGCTGGGCAGGAGTGCTGAAATTCGTGCAACAGAGCAGAAGTGGTTTCACCGATGCACTGCTCGGCCATACTTTTGAGTCTATTCCGCGGGCCTACTGGGCTATTGCATGACAGGCATACGGTCCACTTGAAGGAATGGGGGTCCAATCGCTTTTGTTGGTCGATTGCGGTTTTGGTCGGTTGCTTTCTCTGTTTGTCGTCCAACTCTTCTGATCTTGTGGGTTGTCTCTAGGATTCTCTACGTGAAACTGGAGCACTCTGGTGTGCCATGTTGAGATGGTTCCATTTAAACAGATGCGGACTTGTTCTGCAAATCTGCATCGTAAACACGAGGTGGTTTTCGAACGGAATTCGATCGACACTCTAAGCTCGTGGCTTTCCATCCTTGGTGAATCTTCTTCATGCTCTCCAGGACCTTGCCACTGGCAGGTTCCATGTGGAGTGTCCCCTATTATGGTGCGATGATAGGCACATGAAGCATCGAGCCCTGGCAGTGCAGTCGTTCAGCCTGTTACACCTGATATGTACACTTCAGTGCCTGTTACTGTTGAACATGCTGCATTCTTCAGGGGAATTTGGCTTCATCGTTGAGGGTGATGTTTTGCCTCAAAAACAACCATCTTGAGGGGTTGCACTAGGGGTTGCCGGGGTTAGCTACATGTTCCATGTGATCGTTTGAAACTCGTTGGTTTTGAGCAAAACACGTCGTATCCTCAATGACAAAACTGTGCATTCTTTACGGGAAATCTGTTATGCATGTTTGAAGCCAAAGGCTCATGAAGAAGAAACGTGCTGGACAACGTCAATAGTTTAGATATCGCTTGTTAGTGTCCTCTGGCAAGTGCTTCTTGCCACGAACATACTTTAGGAACATGGCAGAGGTTCTTTTTAGAAAAACGTGATAACATATAGTATAGTTGTTTGTCGGAAAGTTGGGTGGACATTTGTTCCATCAAAGTGAGATATTGTGCTCGTTGAGGTACACCTGGTTTATGCACATACACATTATTGAAATTGTGTGGGCTTGGTGCCCAAAAAAGTTCTATCGGGAAGCTTCTATTTGAATGCTTCTGAGACCTGTGACTGCAACCACTGTTCCTATGCTTGAACTCACACATTGATGAAATCAAATCTTTTGCACCTGTGTGACATGCTCTTCCAAGACTGAACTTCAATGATCACGCTCGTTCCTTTCTTTCTCGCCAGTGTATGTTCACTGTA